TTCAAAAACATGATTTCAAGATGAAATTTTGTGAGAACGTAAAAGTTTTGTCAATGTTTGTACAAAAACAATTCAGATTTTTTTTCAATTATTTTGGATTTTACTGTTCACCGAGCTCATTTGAGCTCGGGCTGAGAAATTTCATGTGCACACGGGAAGGATTATATGGTGGAGTGTGGCTTTAGTTCTTTGTTCATGGTTGTGTATGAATATGTAGCGTGAGGGTTTGTGGTGTGCGTGACGTGATGGAGACGTGTGTACAAGGTTTGGAGGAGTCTAGAGCACATCGCGACGGGATCATGCATGCACATGGCGTCAAGGAAGACACGGAGATGTCTGGGGCAGGCATGATGTGCGGCGGAGCATGCTGCAGTCAGATAATTTTGCCTGGGCCGGACTGGATAGTCTGATGGATCGATATGGATGTTGGTCAAGAAGAAGATGGCAGTGATTTTAGCAACGACGACATAGGAGCATGATACTGATGGTGGCCGACTTCTAGGCGTGGAAACACGTGGTGCGGGTCTGGGGGCTTGTGTGGCTTCGACAAGACTATGGCGCATGGTTGATTCAAGGTAGTGTACACCTGAGAGCGTGAAGTAGCGGGGCGTGGGGTGATATGTCTCCAATGTTATAAATTTTTATTGTCCCATGCTATTATATTATCTGTTTTGGATGTTTAATGGGCTTTATTATGTATTTTTATATTATTTTTGGGACTAACCTATTAACCAAATGCCCAGTGCAAATTGTTTTTTTTGCTTATTTTAGTGTTTTCGCAGAAAAAAAATCAAACGAAATACAAACGGAATGAAACCTTCGGAAGAGTTATTTTTGAAACAAACGCAATTCAGGAGACTTGGAGTGGACGTCAAGGAAGCAACGAGGCAGCCACGAGGTAGGGAGGCACGCCCGGGGGGATAGGCGCGCCTCCCACCCTCGTGGGCCCCTCATGGCTCTGTCGACCTACTTATTTCGCCTATATATAATCATATACCCTGAAAACATCCGAGAGCACCACGAAACCCTATTTCCACCGCCGCAACCTTCTGTACCCGTGAGATCCCATCTTGGGGCCTTTTCCGGTGCTCCGCCGGAGGGGGAATCGGTCAGGAGGACTTCTACATCAACACCATAGCCTCTTCGATGATGTGTGAGTAATTTACCACAGACCTTCGGGTCCATAGTTATTAGCTAGATGGCTTATTCTCTATCTTTGGTTCTCAATACAAAGTTCTCCTCGATTCTCTTGGAGATCTATTCGATGTAATTCTTTTTGCGGTGTGTTTGTCGAGATCTGATGAATTGTGGGTTTATGATCAATATTATCTATGAACAATATTTGGTTCTTCTCTGAATTCTTATATGTATGGTTTGATATCTTTGCAAGTCTCTTCGAATTATCGGTTTAGTTTGGCCTACTAGATTGATCTTTCTTGCAATGGGAAAAGTGCTTAGCTTTGGGTTCAATCTTGCGGTGTCCTTTCCCAGTGACAGCTGGGGCAGCAAGACACGTATTGTATTGTTGCCATCGAGGATAAAAATATGGGGTTTATATCATATTGCTTGAGTTTATCCCTCTACATTATGTCATCTTGCCTAATGCGTTACTCTGTTCTTATGAACTTAATACTCTAGATGCATGCTGGATAGTGGTCGATGTGTGGGGTAATAGTAATAGATGCATAATCGTCTCGGTCTACTTGTCGCGGACGTGATACCTATATACATGATCATGCCTAGATATTCTCATAACTATGCACTTTTCTATCAATTGCTCGACAGTAATTTGTTCACCCACCGTAAATTATGCTATCTTGAGAGAAGCCACTAGTGAAACCTATGACCCCTAGGTCTATCTTCATCATATTATTTTCTTATCAATTTGCTATTTCTACCGCCGTTTATTTTGCAATATTTATTTTCCAATCTATATCATAAAAATACCAAAAATAGTTATCTTATTATCTCTATCAGAACTCACTTTTGCAAGTGGCCGTGAAGAGATTGACAACCCCTTTATCGCATTGGTTGCAAGGTTCTTATTTGTTTGTGTAGGTACAAGGCAACTTGCGTGTAACCTCCTACTGGATTGATACCTTGATTCTCATAAACTGAGGGAAATACTTACGCTACTTTGCTGCATCAGCCTTTTCTCTTCAAGGGAAAACCAACGCATGCTCAAGAGGTAGCATGGGGTAGCATGGCGCGGCTACATAGAGTCATGTTGAAGGTCGAGCTGGAGTCTGGTGGACGAATTCACTCTATACTGATGGAGAGGCTACAACGCAAGAGCCTGGAGAGTCGAGGCCTATTTCACCGGTAAAGAGAGAGACTCGCGGTTCGGAATAGGGCCTAGTGGTCTGAAGGAAACTTGATACTCGGCATCGGTCGACGATGACTGGTTGTGGTAGGGTTTGAGTGGTGTGGGTCCATGGCCCTGCAGACTCGACCAAGACAGGAGGGGCTTTGACGCAATGATAGCGACGAGGCTTACGGTAAGCATGGGGCACAACGATAGGACAAGGCACTGTTGGTCAGACAAAGTGTGCAGAGGTTGCTGAAGCAGTGTTGACGAGTAGTCGGTTCAAGTTTGTGATTGGGTCTATCGGTGTCGGTTAATGGACGAGAGTTGACCATGGAGAATCTAAGAAAGTGGCAGAAAGTCTGAAATTATCAAAAGTTGAGAGAGTACATGGTCATATATTCTGTGATGTTCACTCCACATGACAAAGTGTTGATGACAAGTATAGAAGGAGGCAAAATGTTATAGTGGTGGGACATGTCAGAGACTATCCGGGAAAAAGATGAGGCAACTGCGAATTTGACTAAGGATAACATAGGGCAACAGTGAATTTTCTTCAAGTTTCATACATAAGTCAATAAAGAGCTAGGAGGTTGAGTTCGGGTAACTATTATTGTGGCGTTCAATATGAGTATTATTTTTTCACACAAACAATAATTGGCATGCTCTATCGAATATGTCCACATGGACAAACTCGAGAAGAATCGGGCCCAGGAAGACAAACTCGAAGAAGAAGACCGCCACCCGGGCGACAACCACGTCTGCGAGGATTAAACATCCTAACTGCTATTTGTGAGTTGCGTTGGGATTTTCCCCGAAGAGGAAGGGTGAATCAATGTAGTAGCTGATAAGTATTTCCCTCAGTGAGAATCAAGATTATCAAACCAATAGAAGAATCACACCAAGCCTAGTGAAGAACATCTGCACACATAAGAGCAAATACTTGCACCCAACACGGGTAAGAGGGTTGTCAATCCCCTTGAACTCGTTACTTGTAAGGATCAAATCTGGTAGTAATAGATATATAAATTACAAAACAAAATAAAAGTAAATAAATCGCGTCAAGGTATTTTTTTTGTTTTTGTAATATGATAAAAGTATTACCGGTGCCATAGATTTTACTAGAGTTTTCTCTTTTGAAGTGGGTGAACAAATTACTGTTGGACGATTGATATAAAAGCACATAGTTATGATGTTATTCATGGTAATGATCATGTATATAGACATTACGTCCGTGACAAGTAAACCGAAATGATTTTGCATCTAATATTATTACTCCACCAATCGACGCTATCTAGCATGCATCTATGATATTACGTTCATAACAAACAGAGCAATGCATGAAGCAAGATGACATAATATGGACAGAACAAATTCAAGCAATATGAATAAACCTCGTCGTTTTACCCTTAGCGGCAACAATACAAACTTCCTCGCTACCCCCTCTGTCATGAGGCGAGGACACCGGAAGATTGAACCCATTACAAAGCACATTTCCGTTTGAAGATAAATCAATCTAGTTGGCCGAGCCAAACGAATAGATCGGAGAGAAATACAAAGCAATAACAATCATGCATAATAAAGTACAACAAACACTCAATTACTTTCAATGAATAATCTGATTATAAACCCACAATTCATCGTCTCCCAACAAAACACACCGCAAAAGAAGATTGCATCGGATAGAACTCCACGAAGATTATGGAGAACTTTGTAGTGAAGAAGAGAGTGAGAAGAAGCCATCTAGCTACCAAATGAGAGCAACAAGGCCATCCTTGTCAGGCCCGTGCATGAGGAGGTCATAGGCACCCTCATCGGATAAAAAGTCTACCATTATATTAGAAACCGTCGATCCGGCTCATCGGAGGACCGAAAATCCTACATCGACGGAAGCAGAAACGTGTAACTCAACAACAACAGTAAGGTGGTTCCGCGAGCTCGAATGTAAATCATCCGATGAAACTACCAAATCAAAATGTGTGGCCATTGGAAGAATTCCTTTTGATGACGGCATGTAGGAGTAGACACATCCCCAAACTAAAAATGGGAGGAAGGTGAAAGAGATGTGCTGCTAGTTGAGGTTTGTTGGCTTTGGGAAAGAGAGTTTTTTTTTTAAACAGTACAGACGCAAGCACTCATAAACGCACGCATACACTCATCCCTATGAACGCACACACGAACACTCTGCCCCTATGATCATCTCCGAAAGACCGAGCCGATATATCATCTTGAAATTTACGAAGTCACCATAGCCACCTCGTCGTCGACGGGTTCTCAAAATAATTTGAGGGTTCTTTCTTATTTCGGATCGGAGTAGTATAATTGCTAGAAAATTCAGTGTCTCATTGTGGAATTCTAAAATAAAGTAAGTCCCTTTTTTATAGAAGGGGCAAAAAAAAAAAAGGGAAAAGGAGGGGGGACTCCACCCCGACCCGCCATCTTTG